CCCCCCCCCCCCCCCGGTATTCCTTGAGGCAAATGATTTAAAGGATGAGCTTGGCGGGAGACCTGGCCATCTTCAATTCAGAACCTGAAGCTGAGCCAAGATGGGTTTCTTTGCTTTATGAACAACCATTTGCCGTGAGGTCAGATGAGATCGGTATAATTTGCTCAGCCCACTTGGTTGAGCTTCACTTGAAATGGCGGCACCGGTACATGAGCCATCTGGGACTGGACGTCTACTGAGAGCAAACAAGAAAAATTGTGTAAGATTTGTATAGGAACCTAATCGTGAATCCAAGAACCTTCTCCTTCTCCTACCACTACCGCTATTACTACCAGACTACCACTCACTATGACTACTATCACTCTTACTGACTACTCGTCTATTCTTCTTCTACTCCTACCGCTGCTAAGACTCCTGCTCCTCCAGCCAGAGTCACATCAGCCCCAGGTAGCATTTCACCCCTTGACTTTCGCAAAAAAGACAGCACGTGACTGTGTCGTGAGCGTTTCTCACCCATGTCGTACCCAGAGGCACAGGGGGGCCCGATAAATTAGGGGTCTCTTTTTAGGGCCCCATTCTGAAGGACTGCAGTGTTGGCGGTCTACATTGAGGACCCCTTGTTTAGGAAGACTACCACCTGAGGATTAGAGTAGATCATGTGGGGTCCACGTTATTCAAAAAGGGAATCTTCCGCGAAACACCCTTCTACCCGCGACCCGAACCCCACCTTCCCCACCCATCCTGGGTTGCTGGTTTGGAACTTAAATCAACTTACCATACCACAACATGAATGCAGTGAGTAATGTCGGCTTCTTACAGCAGCAACTAGCATTAAGGTTCATGGCAATTGTAGCGCAATTATAACTGGCACTGGCACTTATATCGCAGTCACAACTACCTTGAGTCCTCTAATATGGTTCTGATTGGGGGATGGGTACCAGCTATGGCTGGGTCATAACCCTAAACCCTAAACCCTAAGCCTTACTTTGAACGTCAGCTTCCTTGTTCTTAGTGTGGAATGAAGGAATATAGTTCCAATAAAATCCCGAAATAATACACTCCCAGCAACTAACATGGAAACCAAAAAAGGGCCCTATAAAGACTACAGTCCTTTTAAAAGGGGACTATATGGGTTTCCATGTTAGTTTGGGGGAGTGTATATTCCCTAATTCCCTGCTAACCCTAAACACTAAACCCTAGTAGATATTCGCTGTTCCCTACCAAGTGGCCTGCAAGTCCGAGTAAACCTTAATCACTAAACCCTCAACGCTGTAGCCTGAATCCTAGACCTTAAACCCTGAACCCTACACCCCGAAACCCTATATCCTAAAAACCCTAAACCCTGAAACCCTAAAGTCTAAACCCTAAACCCTAAATCCTGAAAACCCTAAACCCCGAAACCCTAAAGTCTAAAGCGTAAACGCTAAACCCTTAACCCCGAGCCGTCGAACCTGCTCAGTGAGCTCGGCGAAATTCTCGGGGCGTGTGGCGGTGATGTCCCGCGTGTGGTTGTGCACATACCTGGCTCTTACTGGGGCTTAGTATTCTAGGGTTCAGGGTTTGGGGAGGTTTGTAGGAATGGAAAAAGAAAATGGAAACTACTATAGGGTTTACCCTAAACCCTCAACCCTCAACCCTCAACCCTAAACCCCAACCCTAAGGGTTAAAGATCTTACTGTGGCTGAGTATTATAGGGCTCAGTGATGCTCAGGGTTTAGGGTTGAAGGTTTAGGGTTCAGGGTTTGCTTGGACTTGCTGGGGCTTGGAAGAAACAAAAGGGAATATATCAGAGGGTATAGGGTTCAGGCTTCAGGGTCAGTATGGAGTAAGGGAATCAACTATATGGGGATCTTTCGGCATGTTCACTTTGGGACTGCAAGGTTGCGCAGGGCTTGCAATTCAGGGTTGGGGTTTAGGGATGTTTAGGGAAAAGTGTTCAGGAGCGCGGGCCTAGCGGTGTCCGCACAGTAGGCTTTGTGCAGCGCAGGCTGAGGCTCAGGCCAACAACCAGACTCTGAGTGGAAGAACAGGAAATGCTGGGGGCCACACAAGCGAGTAGCCTTTGGCATGCAGCCACAAAGCTTGGGAACCCTTGCCTGTAGTTTTTGTCCCGCCTGCTCATGTTTCAATGAACCTTCTAGAGAAGCAGTGGAAACATACCGAAACCCGAACCCTAGCGCAGGCCTTCCTATTCCGCACACCGCCTCTGAGTAGTCCCTGGTAGTGTACAAACAAGGGGAAACCTGGAGCATCAGGGATAGTCGGCGAGTACAATGAAATCGTAAATAAGAGATAGTAGGATGGGACCCGATCGTGGTTACATGATACTTATATTGATCATTATTATGGCCCAAACTTTGAGCCCTAACTTAGGTGGTTGGGGCAACAGTGAGCCTGTTTACTTACTGTGGTCTGTTTACTGCTTCTGTGGGGATTACATGCTGCTGCTGCTGCTGCAGCGCCGGCAGGGCTGAGCGTGCCTGGAGCTCCATGACGGCCACAGGTAGGCGGCAGCGCGCCGCTCCTGGTAGGGTTGCTCCTGATGACCTCGACGTATCAGTCATACTGCTGTCCAACAAGAAGACTCAAGTCTCGGAAGGGGACGTTGGTAGCAACCGTCTTCCCGGTCTTCTCGGGAGGCTCGTTCCAACGGGACGGCGCGAGGCCGCAAAGCCGGAGTGAGAGCACGCTGCGCAGTGCTCGCCGAGGGCATCGAGCCGACACCTGCACAGGCACCATGCGCGGCGAAGCGGAAAGACGCCAAGCCGAACCAGAGCTCGGGACGAGTGGCTTTGAAAACCCTGGCCGTGAACGGTCCAGGGCCTGGAAGACGCTTCCAAGCGCTGTGCGAGGGATGCGGAGGTTTGTCCGTCAATTGCACGCGAAGCTAAACATGCCGGCCGTCAATCGTGCCACATCACTAGGCAGGCCTGCGCATGGGGACGGATCGAAGCCTTAAGTCGAAATCCTGCAACTCTAGACCCTGATATCATAAACCTTAAAACCCTAAGCCCTAGAACTCTAAGCCCGGGGGACACGCAAAAATCTCAAAACGGAATAGCAAAAACTCTTTCACAATAACCCCAATCTTGGAGGCTCTGAAACCACTGGAGCGGAAAACCATGAAACTCCAGTTCCCCAAACCCTCAACCCTACAACTCTAAAACCCAAAGCCCCAAACCCTGGAAGCATAAAACCACCAAATCCTAAAACCCAGAGTGTCATAATCTACGGGGCCTATATAATTACCAATACTTTCAAGTCGTTTTTAGGTACCCTATACCATAATTATACACGAGCCAGGACTAGAATGTTGGTCATTATTTTGGCCCCCTAACCCCAAACCCCTAAACCCTAGCCCCTAAACGTTATCTCTGGCAAAGGTGCACGTAGCAGTCTCCCTTGTAGTTCCTCAGCTGTCCCTAAAAGCCCAATCACCCTGAAATGGATTATACTTAAGGGTCTAGGGCTTACAGTTGATTTTCTATAGGGGGTCATCCCTCAAGCCCACTTACCTTGAAAGGGGACTAAAGTTCAAGGTTTAGGATTTATAGAGATTCTCGAGAGGGGGGTATAATGTTTTTTTGGGAAAATGGTGTAGAGCTTAAAATTTAAGAGCTGTCGGGTTTTTCGCAGTATATGGAACCTACAACACAGGCACCTACTACGCGTGGAACTGGGCTTCTAAGGTGTGATTCCCTATGCTTCTGTCCTTGGCTTATGCAGACTGTCTATCTAGGGCTTTCTGCCGTACCTTATTGGGATGCTAGTCAAACTGTCACACCTGCTTTCTCTTAATCCCCTCCCCCTAATATTAAACCTCATATTAAACCCTCCCCCCCCCCAATATTCAATACTCCCATGTGCTACGTTATAATATACAGGGATATTTAATATTAGGGGTGTGGGTGGGGGTTAATATTAGGGGAGGGGATTACTATGGAGTGGATTTAGCAGGAAGCGAAATGCAAGTTATATTAAACAATGACTCTCGATATGGAATCGTTAGCGCGCTGGCTTCATCAATTTCACTACAAGTCCCCAGCAAGCCAGCTCTCTCCTATACATACATGCATACACACATATATGCATGCACACATACATACTCCTGTTCCTTGCATGGAATCCGCATGCACATGCATGTTCTCAAGGGATGCCTACTCTCGTAATTTTGACAAGCTATTGACAAACTTCAGGCCCACACAAGGCTTGCAAGCAGGACTCTAAGGCTCAACAAGTTACCCCCCCCCCCCTCCAGCATGCACCGGCTACTGTTCGAGTTAAGGCTATGTGTATTGCTATTATCACTATTACTACTACTCTTACTACTGTTACAAATGATCACCATTATTGCTACTATTCCTATCATCCTATCATTGACGCATGAACCCCAAGCCAGTCACAGGGTTACCCACTGGACTATGGGTTTGGGGTTTGGGGTCGAGGGCTTAGGGTTTGGACTACGACATCTGCTCTGCAGCTCAGCTGCAGGAAGCGGTACCACTTTCCCTTCTCGTAGGCATGGAGATCTATTCCGCGATCCTTCTTGGCTTCGCCCGTACCCTCCTGGGAAATTATGATTTGGGGCTTTCTTCGCAATGAAACTTGAAGGAAGCCGCGTCGAGCTTTCAAGATCTAAAGTCTCTATCCCTAGGGCTCCAGTTACCAAAATCATGGGAACTGGGTTCCATAGACCCTATAGTTACATAGCCCAGTAACCTACTATTTAGGTCACTGGGGAGCCTGAACCCTAAACCCTAAACCCTAGACCCTAAACCGCGTTACTATTTAGGTAACTGGGGAGCCTGAACCCTAAACCCTAAACCCTAAAACGCGTTACTATTTGGTAGTTTCCCAAAATAAGGGAACCCCAATATAGACTCCCCAATACTATATTCCTTATTATAGGGACCCCCCCATAGGGTACCCCTAATTTTTGGGAGACCCCC